ACGGGGCAGGGGGACACACGGGTGCTCCCAGCCCGCAGATCCGGGTGTTTAACAGCTGGGAGAGAGGGAGAGGAGGAGCCCCCAGCTCCCAGCCCAACACCCCGAAAGGACGAAGGGGCCAGGCGCGCAGGACTCACCGGTGACAGGGAGGGGAGAGTGGAGGTGGCAGTGGCCCAGCTGATGCTGGTGAAGATGTGAGGGGACACCGGAATTTGGATTGAGGGCAACGCCTAAGGGGGGAAAAGAGGGGTCAGCGTTAGCTCTGGGGGCTGCCCTGCTCCACACAGGCATTCACCTCCCAGCCTGGAGTACCTGGGAGCACCGGGGGTGGGATGGACACCACCAGGCATGGCACACGTGCCACATCACCCTTCACTGGGGCACAGCAGCTTCTTCCCTCCCACAGCTGCCTCCAGATGCAAAGCCAAACCCCAGGCACCATCCTGGTCCGTATGGCTGGATTATTGCCCTTATTGATGCAGAATTTCTGCTTTTAGATGATGTCCCATCTGTTTCCTGGGAGGGGACTGGACCCACGAGCAGCCTGTGGATGCCTCCAGCCCACCCCTGCACCACTCTGCAGCTCCACGACAGCACTTGGCTCTCAAGCTGCTCCTGGCACGAGGGGCACTGGCCAACGGGGCCACCATTCCAGGTGCCCAGGCTTCCTGTGCCTCAAAAGCCCATGCAACGGAGATGGGCAGGACCTGGAGATGTGGAGGATCTGGCAGGGCCACATTCCAGCCCAGCTATCTGAGGCAGGAGGGTGTGTTACATACCAGCACCGGGAAACCGGGAACGGCCGCGGCAGAACCGCACGAGCCCCCGAGCAGGGTGGCTGCTCAAGGGCTGAAGGGCAGCCAGGCAGGGGATGGTGCTGCACTGGCACCAAAGATCCTCTGTGATGAACAGGAGAGGGCCACCAGCACCCTGGCTTGGGTCAGGACGAGTGCAGCCAGCAGGACTAGGGCAGGGATCTTCCCCCGGCACTGGGCAGGCTGCACCTCGAATCCTGGGGTCAGTTTTGGGCCCTTCATTCCCAGAAGGAGCGTGAGGGCCTTGAGCGTGGCCAGAGAAGGGCAACGGAGCTGCTGGGGAAGGGTCTAGAGCCCAAGTGTGGGGAGGAGCAGCTGAGGGAGCTGGGGGGGCTGAGCCTGGAGCAAAGGAGGCTCAGGGGAGGCCTTCTGGCTCTGCACAGCTCCTGACAGGAGCCTGGAGCCAGGGGGGGGTCGGGCTCTGCTCCCAAGGGACAACAGGACAAGAGGAAAGGGCCTCAAGTTGCCCCAGGGGAGGTTTCAGTTGTCCCTGAGGAACAATTTCTTGCCCTGGAGGGTTGCCCAGGGCTGTGCCAGGCTGCCCAGGGCAGTGGTGGAGTCCCCACCCCTGGAGGGGTTTCCAAGCCGTGGAGATGTGGGGTGAGGGACACGGGGCAGTGGGGACCTGGCAGTGCTGGGGGAACAGTCAGATTTAATGCTCTTAAAGGTCTCTTCCAACCATAACAATCCCATGATTCTATGCATGAGACACTCCTGCTGCAGCAGGGACTCGTGGAGCAAACCAGATTCACAACCTGCCCTACAGCAAGATTTTGGGAGGCGACCCATCCCCGGGAGATGCCAGCAGCTCACCTGGTAGGCGTGGTCAGCCTGGATGTGCCAGAAGGAGCTGGGGGCAGACTGGCTCAGGGCACCACTGGCCAGGGCGGGCTCCAGCACCGGCTGCTCCAGCAGCAGGGCCTCTGGCTTGGCCAGGGCTTGCTGGATGACGATGGGGGCGGACACGGAGGTGGGGCTGGCGCTGGCGGCCGCCTCCGGCGCTGGCTCCTCCTTCACCTGCACTTCGGTGTAGTAGAAATCCTCCTCCCGCTTCCGCTGGTCGGAGTCTGCACTGTCTCTGCCGGGGAGGAAGGGGGGCAGGGTGGTGACAATCTGGTTCCCAGCAGGGTGAGGAGCCCTGGGTGTCCCCAGGGGAGAACGATCCCTGTCCTCGTGGGCTCCCAGGCACCACCTCGGCTGCCATCAGCGACAGCCACCACCTCTGCAGCAGCACTTTGTGCTTCCAAGGAAAATCCAAGAGCTTCCCCAGGGCCTTGAAGAATGCCAGCAGGTTGCCCAGGTGCCACTGAAAATTCCCTGCTCGTTCCAATTGGATTTGTTTAGCGTGGCTGTGAGCGGAGCCCTACCCTTCACCCAGCAGCAAACAGCCCCTCAAGTCTTTTGTGATTATCTTCCCAGTACTTTTATCCAGCACTGGATGGCAGTCCAGCACTGCCCACTGCACCACGGCCCTTCTAGCCTCACCTCTCCTGCAGTTTGAAAGGAGGAGGGACAAAAATACATACTGGAAAACAGGGGCAAAACCATAAGAAAACTGAGGTTGGGGTGAGAAAGGCAACGGGGCCACAGGAGGAGAGCAGAGCCAAGCTGATCCCCGCACCCTCCCCACCGTGTTTTGGGGGGGATTCCCAGATGAGGACACAGCCAAGGGGTCGGGGAAGGGTGGAGGGGGTGAAATCTTCACCTTACCCGAGGTGCTGGGTCCTGACGTGCCGCTTGATGCCGACGATGGAGCGCAGGACCTTGCCACAGCTCGGCCACAGGCACTTGTACATCACCTTCACTGAGTTCTGGTGGGGAGACGGCTCCTGTCACCCCCTGCCCCGTGGCAGCGTCCCCCCCAGGGGACACCAGCTCTGCTGGGGTGCTGGGACCCACCCCCCGACACCAGCAAGTACCTTTCTCTTGCGTGGAGTGGGTTCGTCGAGGAGGAAGGGGTCGGAGTCGGTCTCAAAACCATCATCCGCTTGGGGGGAGCTCAGGGCCTCGCTGGAGTATTTGGGGCTGCCGGCGGGGTGA